TTTTATATTTCATGTGTATTTCAGGTGTGCGACATGCTGATGCGTCATCAATAATCGATGCGGCTGGTGCTTACCCGCTGATCAGGCAGATTCTTCTAGATGTACGTTTTTTTGTGCTCTATTAATTTTCAACAGATTACGAGTGAGCGTCAGGTGGAGAAGACGCTGTGCTGTATGTGGTACCGTATACTTATGGGGTTCTACATGAGTACCGTTCTCCTGACTTTTATCACATGTTGAGATGCAATGCTAGTCTGGTGGGCACGCCGATTTTCTTGAGTACGGTAGGTGTGAAATGTACGTGGGGAATGGAGCCCACGGCTACGATCTAACGAGAAACGATGGACTGAGTATCAGAAGGAGGAAGCCTCCATCTCCGTCAAGGCCTAGTCGATCGATCGATTGTGTATATTCAAATGATCCAGGAGGAGTACCATCAAAGGTAGAAGCAGGAAGGCAACAACGAGATAATAAATGTTAAATCCCATAGTGTGTCATCAGGTCATAGCATTGGGAGCCAGCCCCCACGTATATTTCACACTTACCATATTCAAAAAATCGGCTCCCTCATCCGACTAGCATTGCACCATATTGGCTTGTAGGCCGTAACTACGCACCTGGGACCAGGACCTGGAATGAAGGAGTGAATGCTCTGAACATAATTCTGATTCTGATCCCATAGAATTTCCCGGAGTAGAATTCGAGTTCTTCAGTCTATCGACACACAGAAACCAAAGCACCGTCTGTGCGCTAACCACAATGCGCCAGCATCGATACTGACGCTTTCGCACCTTCTGCATTTGCCACAGCCAATATTTTTTTCAGTTTGTCCCGCCTCATTGGTGGATTAAGTATATCCATATGATGCGACCACCACACGCAATGGTTATTCAACTGAACTCTAATGGTGAGATCATTCAGTCATTGCATGACGTCACGGGTACTCACATACAGGATGTGTCACAGGTGAGCCTTCAAACTTATATTTATTTGGCAGCAGTGGTCTCGCACTGACGTGAGCTGATATTTTGCAGCAGGGTGAGCCAACGTCGAGGATTTCCCCCCTCCCCCCCAAGAAGGGGAGGGCTTGAGGGCTTGAGTTCTGCTCCAGGAGCGCGCGTCTTCAAATTCGATGGTGGATTTTTGGAAGACGTGGGGATTGGACGTTCCATGAGGTGCTAGGCCAAGAAAGTGACTCACTGGTACTCAAAGAGGAAAACAGGCCCAGGGACAGACTCCTCACCCGGTAGGCTGGCCCGCTCGTAAAGACATTCGCCAGTTGTGGCGCAGAAGAGCCTGAAGCGGAGCGCCTTGTAGGATGTGCGTCCTGCCTTTGTAGCATGCCCGGGCGGAATAGCGGCCGAGAAGTTGCAAGGCAGTAAGAAAGAGAGAATTGATTTAGGTTGCTTTCATACTTTGCGCAGGTCTGGATGAGCAGATGGTAATGCAAGTCCGGAAAGTGTATAATGCGTCAGTTTGGATGCTGGCGCATGTTCCTTAGCGCGCAGTCGGTGTCTGTTCAATCGATCGTTAACATAGTAATGGGAGCACCAATTGTGCGCCAAAGACAATGCGCCAGCACCGATGCTGACGCTTTTCACTACACTCTGCACTTCCCATGTCATCTGCGCATTCCGCACATTCTGCAGTGGCGGCGCAGAATGAGAATAGCTTGAGGTTGGGGAGTTCCGAGAAGGAGTTTTTGTGGGTTCGGCAAAATATTCCTATAAATTTTCCGAAGGCTCTATAAGCTGCGCGACGTTATCAATGCGACCAATGGGTTTGTGCCGTGAACAGCCACCTAGCCGCGACGCGACCGCACGCAGCTGTGACCGGAGAGTCGCATCAGCTACGCTTTGCTGATTGGGAATAAGGTTTTTGTCACAAGGATTTGTTCTCTTTTGATTCTTTTTTTTTCAGGTGTCTCAGTTTGGTGACTACTTATACTTTGGCAGTTTTCACAACAAATATATCGCTAAGCTACATATCGGAAAATAATCAGTGATTTAATTTCTTTGCTTTGTTTGCTAATAAAAATTTTATCAACTATGTTTATCAGCGATGACTGTTACATTGGCTGATGGGTTTGTTGACATACACCAGGTGATGGTAATTTCGGAACACGTTTTTCTTTCCCGTTACGCCTGCAAAGTTAACTAACTGTGAAATGTCTGTCCGGTATTTTTTACTATTTCGACATAGTTAAAAATCTATGTGCTTGTACCATATGCAATCACTCGGAATTAAATCTAGGGCAATTTTTCAAGTTCACCAGAAAATTCGGTTTCTAATGAACTGTCCCTTCTTGTTTCCTGTCCACAGACCTCGTTTCTATTCTGTTCTAAAATGATTTAAACCGCAGCATTTCACTCCTATAAGAAGCTGTTAATAGCGAATGGAGGTCCAACAGAAGAAAGAGGCGCCAATCATCTCAAGAACCTACCTTGAAGTACTTCTGTGCAGCCTCATCTCAAAGCGTCAGCACTTGGCAGAGCCCTCTCTTCGGTCCCAGCTCATGAAGCGTCTAGCAAGAACTCACCCCAGTTGTGGTTTTTGATGCTTTTTATGACATCTGATGTCACGTTTGTTGCCATAACGACATTCCCAGTTTCGAGAAACATAATTCACAATAGGGTAGAAGTAAATGTGCCCAAACTAACTACAAGAGAGTTCGCCATGCATTTGTTTGGTATCAGGACAGCAAGAGCATTTCGAATGGCGTATTCGCCAAGTCAGGCTCTGGTAGGCAAAATTGCAATTGTGATGACTTGACTTTGAGGTTTTGACCCGATTTGATAGGCAGACAAGTTGGGGATAACCGTTTACACCCACGACGATGGTCATTCTTGACCGCCAACATTGCGGCGGACTCTTTCCCAACTTTCTACTCTTCAAGTTGGTAGTAGTCCTTCTACGGGAAGGTTAGTGGCGGAAGGTGCCTGGCGTCACCCTCCGCGGTCCGTGGAATCCAATTCTCCCTTACGACCCTAAAATCATCATTTCTGCCATATATCAAAACTGTGGCATCGAATGGATTGAGTTGGTCTGAATAACAGGCATTTGGTGCAGTGGTTTTTGTCGACTGGAGCTATCCCACTTCTCGCATGGGGCAAGTTTCAAATAGGATCTTGAGGTGGCGAAATTACTCACGTACCCTGGAACTTTCTCCACCTTCCAAAATTGGAACTGTACATAGGTGTGACAACTGTTGTGCTCAGCTAATCGGATACACCAGGGGTTCATATCAAGTTTTTCGAACAGGTCAGGTCAATTCTGAGCAGATCACATACACGTACCTGCTCGGTCACAGCAAACCTAACCTGAACCTCAAAGGCAGCGGTTACGGTAACTTTGATCGTGATCAGAAATACAAAAAAGATGGAGATGGTGCAGCAGTCAAAAAAGTACTTGGAACCTCAGAAATCCGAGTATCGGGACCCTCTTTCTGCCCATGGATTTTGGACGAGTTCACCTCTTAGGTACGGGACGTTTGTATGATAGTACCCCGACGAAATATCAGAGACGACAATATTACATGACATAAGCTTTTTATGCGACATGCACTTTCAAAATGAAAACTGAACGCAAACAGAGCGGTATTGCAAACCGCAATAACCACGCTTGGGAGGTGGGTGGCGGTTTGGGAGGAGGCGGGTTGCTTAAGGTTGGGACCCTAACTGCCTTGGAAGTAGCTCATCTTTCACCGCGAAAACGTCACACCTAGCTTCCATATCATCTGGCTACAGTATTCTTGGTGCATAGAGTTCCTCTGCGCACAAGCGCTTCACCGTGCCCCCTGCCTTTAAGCCTAAGCTAAGCTTGGACCAGCACACCAGCTGAGGCGATTTGGCCTGACCGGATCCAATGGGATGTACTGAATGTCTCTCTGATTAGGCTTGCAGCAGATGTATTCATACACTCTTTCTAACGCCGGCCGAACATTGAAAAGCAGTACACTGGCGCTCAAATAGCCGATTCTGAGTGAATGCGTGGCGCATCCAGAGACTAGCGTATTGTTCCTTTTGTAGTGTAGCATGTCATTTTAAGCAAACAGTCTTTGTCATCCGATTGTCATTTTTCTGAATCGATAACACGTCGTGAAAGCCGCCACACCGACATCACACAGTCCATGTGCGGTAGACGTCGTTGTTATATGAGCTGTGTGAGTCAGCGCCAAAGGCTGCGTCACCCGGCTGGCTCTCGCTCGAGACGTCTCTGCAAAGGAAATACAATGACAGTGCAGCAGCGCTGGTGATATCGTACGATTCCGCGCCACTGTGGTCCTTCGTTCCAGGGTCTTCGAATGGAAATCGATCGAAGTTGAATGAAGCCTTTCAGCTATGTAGCTTCGTTTCGATCGTTTCCTTTTCTCTGAGCTGATCATTTCTCTAGGTCAAATCTACCTTCCAAGACTTTTTGTCGTAGGTTTCGCTCTGAAATTTTTTTTGTTTTCTTTCAATGAAAAATCAACATCTGAATGCCCCTTCAAGAAATAAATGCTAAAGTGCTCTGAGAGGGTGGTTCAGGGAATCCTTTGTATTGGGCTCGTATTTGCTTCATAGTCAAAAAGAGGGGCCAGCATCGGTCGGAATTGGCAGTATGTTCCGAATAGGATCAGAAATTCAGCCAGTGGTGGTAGCGATTCTTGAGACTTTCTTGAGGAATTTCAATTCGAAACTTCCTCTCCCCATCTTCTAAACCTCTAACAGACATTATGGAGACCCAGGTGTAGCTGCACGCCAGCGGACCACAAAGTTCCTGACAACGTACTTATCTGGCAATCGGCTCGGTCTCTCCTCACGCCAGCCTTCGACCTTTTATCCTTCTATCGTAACTATTGGGTTGTCTCATAATAATACTGTCGCATTTCTATTCAGTTTCAAATCTCTTCCGCCTAAGACCGTTTCATTGCGAAATACGTTAGTATGTTGAAGTACGCTTCAAGAGCCTTAACAGTATGGTTTCGGAAACGCGAGCCCGTAATGGGTTAATCAACTAGGAATAAAAATAGGTCAGTGACTATAATGAATGATTATGCTTTACGATCCTCAAATGAACTCTGTAGCAAGGAGGACAACAGAGAAGACCAGCGCTGTGTTTGACCCAGTCTCTGCTACTGATAGGGTACTGAGCTAGTGGTCCAATCGCAACGGCAAAGACGAAACGAGCTATGAACTTCAACCTCATACTGGGCCTGCGGTCATTTTTGATGAGCGCCCCTTGCACCCTAAATTGGGAGTGCCTCCGTACGTTGCTACCAGGGTATTGTAGCAGATACCTGAGCGCAGCCGATGCACCAGCACACGCCATCAGTATGGCAAGGACTGCTGCAGAATGAAGTTTTGATGGAAACCTTATGGTCCGGCCGACCATGAGCGAGAAGCACGCCTGACCATCTGGGAAAAATCCATTCTGGGACGGCAAAAGCAGAGCCTTCCCTAATCGGTCACCAGTGGAAATGAGTCATGAGTCCACTGCGACAACATGCGGCACGTCTGATGGCTACCTCGCAGCCAGGAAGCACCAGCTCAACCAAAGCCCGAACTCCGTTTTCTGAGAATATCGCTCTCGTTTTGTTGGATTCGCTAGGTGGCCTGGTTTGGGAACCACTTCAATGTATGAAGACAAGCATTGCTAAAGTCAGCGCGGAATAGCCCTCTAGGCTGGCTTCGGGGTTGCGAGGGAATCGTCAGAAACGTCTCAGATTCTCCTTTCTCCGAATGTACGCCAGACCTCACATTGCAATGCCAACTCACCACGTTCTGAGGGAGATAGCCAGGGCCACGATACCTCATCCACCATATAGCATTGGCATCGCTCTATCGGACTATCGCCTCCCCTGCGCCCTGAATAAGCATCTGCCAGAGAAGAAAGTTAAAGATTGCGACCACCCCAAAAACGACTTCTCCAAATTCTTCAACCCCCAGCTTCCTTCATTCTGGGCTGGAAGCTTCCAAACGCTCACTAGCAAATGCACGCATATCAGTGACCATGATGGTGGTTATGTATTGATCAGTTGTTTCCTAGAAGAGATAAACTTGGATAAACAAAAGTGTCGAAATTGCGACAGGAATTATGAGACAACCCAATACTGCCCCCAATAAAAGCTTCGGGACCAGTCTGATGCTTAGCCTATTTCACGACATCTGCAGAATTTCAACGCGTGTGGAATGTTACAACGTAAGGGATCGGGTCATAATTTTGGAGAGACGTGAGAAAAAGATTTTTGGGACAAAATAGAGAATCTTTCCGCTTCAACAGAGGTGTGTACCCTTCTCGACGCAGTTTGGAGTTTTGTGGGCGGAATTTTAAAGTGCGCCAAGATCAGCCTAACGCGGTGGTTGACCCTGCCTATACTTGAGAATGCAGAGACCAAAGGGTGAGCAAGGTTGGATAAACGCACTTCGCTTTGGAAAGCTGTAGCTTCGAAGTCATAGGGGTCACGAAGCCTTACTGAGGCGAGATAGTGCGGAGCAGAGCGGCATACTGGCCGAAGACCTCCGCACACACGCCTGTGGTCCCGGAGTCGGATTCCGGATTGAATCTCGCTTGGGCTTTCGAGCTTCACCCTCTCAATTTTCGAATTTTTTTTAACTGGCTTGTTTAGACTTGTCTTGTTATCAAAAGATGAACGTGCGCTGGTTACTCCAAACAAGCCATTGTGGAGGCCAAATCACAATTGAATATCAGTAATTCTGAATGGGAGTGTTGTGCGACTTATCCCGAAGAGGCTTGATCAATAACAATTGCCTGCCTTTTATCGTGGGAACTGGGAAACCCTGGGAACTTCTAGCTGATCCCCACTCTACTTTTGAGTGAGCTCGACTAATGGAAAGTTTATGAATGTCATTCTTCCCACAAAATGTTGCTAGCGAATTATGCGCCGGCGAGCAACCATCGATAAACATTTTGAATGACGCAAAGAACCCCAACTGTTTTACT